GCTAAAGTATATTATTGCTAAGTTTTTGTCCACAGGGTTACATGCCAATCTCTGTGCAATACACCTGTTTTACTAATAAGTAAACCATCTGGAGAATATCCGAGCCATCAGTGAGGCAGTGGTACCTGTTCCCCCATTAATAGCAGGCCCATATACCCTCTTAGTACAGACTTCAGCAACACTAAATGGTTCACTGTCTTGGATCTCAAGGATGCTTTCTTTTCTATCTCTGTGGATCCTAACTCCAAGTATTATACTTGTTTGCTTTCAAATGGGAGGATTTGTTTACCATAAACAAGACCAGCAGCTTGGACTCTCTTGCCTCAGGGTTTTAGAGATAGCCTCTAATTATTGCACAGACTTTAGCTCAAGACCTGAAATATATAAGTTTTAAAAGGGGGGCCTATTACAGTATGTAGATGACCTCGTCATGTGTAACCCCACTAAGGAGTTATCTGACAAAACACCATTAATGCTCTCAATTTTCTAAAGAAAGGGGGTTACAAAGTATCCCAAATAAGGCACAGTTTTCTCAATAAAATGTGACATATCTGGGATATGTTGTAATGACAGGACAAAGACAATTGTTCTTAAGGAATACAGAGGCAATTTGCCATCTGAGTTCTCCTGAACCTAAGTAGCAACTGAGAGCTTTCTTGGGAATAGTAGGTTTCTGCTGCATATGGACACCCTGTTTTGGAGCAATAGCCACACTCTATATAAGGCAATCTGAAGGCCAGAAACTGAACCTTTAAAATGGACAGCAGCCAAGCCAGGCATGGTAGAGCACACCTGTAATCTCAGTGCTCAGGAGCCTGAGGCAGGAGGATAGCCATGAGTTCAAGGACAGCCTAGGCTACATAGCAAGACCCTATCTCCTAAAATAAAACAACAGCACCTAGGGTGAGATGCCACCACTGCTAAGGCACATAGACTCTTTGTAGGGCCTGGAGTCCATAACATTGTTACCCAGGCCTTCTGTAACCCACAAACTCATCCTCCTCAATCCCCCTTTGAGGCAGTGCAAAGCTGTGGGGGCCTCCCTGGAAAAGACCGGCAAACAGGTTTTACCTACATGCCTATGTGCAAGGGGTACACACACCTCTTGGTACGACTAACACCTTTACTGGGTTGATAGAGGTTTTCCTGCCAGATCAGAACAGGGCTTGGAGGTTGGAAAAGTCTTCCTTAACCACTTACCAGTCCAATTATTTAAATACAGTATGACTGAAAATTCCAATTTTTTCATTAATTTTTACAAGACAATATAACACGGAATATCAAAATGACAGCTGTATCAAATTTACTTAATATAAGAATTGACTGGTTGAAATGACATCTGCCCAAGAAAGGCTCAGGATAAGTTACACTCCAGATAAACTGGTATGTGGTTAAGGTAGTCCGTAGGTTTGGGCTTCCTGGGTCTATCCAGAGTGATAATGGACCTCTTTCACATCCCAGATCACACAGGGAGTCACCAAAGCATTGGGAATGAATCATCTCCACTCTGCATGGAGACTCCACTCATCAAGAAAGGTTGAGAGGGCCAATCAAACTCCCAAGTGAACACAAGCCAAGCTATGGAAAAAAATAAAAATAATTTTTTTTAAAAACCACCACCTTAAGTGGCTAGATCTCCTTCCAAAGGCCTTAATGAGACTTTGGGCAGCCCCAAATGCAAATAAGCTCAGCCCATTTGAGGTGCTTTATGGGAGGCCCTTTTTGACAACTGACTCACTGGCATTGAAATCTCCCAGCTCCCTCAACATATGACCTATCTGGAAACCTTCCAATAGGCCCTCTAGGTCTATGGAAGTCAGGCCCTTCAACTCCAAGGGACTAACAATAAATGTCAGCCCAAAGTCCGCCCTGGTGATCAGGTCCTAATTAAGACCCAGAAGGAGGATGGGCCCTAGGACCAACTCACACCCAAATAGAAAGACCCTTACACAACCCTATTAGGCATTCATTCTTCCATTAAGGTACAGGAAATAGATAGTTGGATTCACCTCTCCAAGGTAAAACCCAAGCCTCCTGAGACACCAGAAGATGAAAAAGAGAGACACATAAACCTCATACATCTGTGAACCAGTAGACACACTCAACCTTCTTTCCAGTGCAGAAAATACCATCCATCCTCTCAGTGTATAGTTTCCATCTGGGGTGACAGGTGCCGAGAACAAGGTGCCCGCAGATGAAAAGAAAAACAAGAGAAAGATAGTTTATGGGATCATGGGGCTTCAGCCTGTTGGACTGATACCTGGATTATCATTTTCCATAACCTTTTATTGAGAAAGAACAAAGGCAGCAACA